CAAGGAGTCAGACAACAACTGAGCAAGTACATACAGGTGGCTAATAATCTGAGTTAATCATGATTGCTTCCATTTTCTCAGTGTAGTAAGGAGCTACATGACTATCCAAAAGAAGGAAGATGGAAGAGAAGGCCTCAGAGATCTGAAGAGACAGGAGAAAATACAGAATTTTTTCCAGGGCAGTGAGAGTAATGGATTAGAGAAATAGAGTATATTTGCCAGGCAGTATTATGGGCCACTTGAGGTTAATGATTATTTGAAGTAAGATCAGTCAGCAAGTTTGAATGTTTTCCTGAAGCCACATTCAGCTTCCAGAGTGCAGTTATGAGATAGACAGAGAAAACTGAATTTAAGTTGAGCTGTGATCAGCCAGGGAGTATTTCAGAGCAAGAAAGAAAAAAGTGAGTTCAAGTTTAGATCATATATCAGAAACTGGGTATAATTATCAACTGTGGAACTCTAGCTGGGTTACCAAGGAAGTGAGGATATGAAGGGATGAGAGGCAGTAAGCAGGTAGTTAAATCAATAAAGGAAAGGACCCTGTGGAGTTCAAAAGGATTGTTGGAGTTGGGGTACTAGAAGGAGCAAGCTGGAAAGAGATGATGTTTGGAAAATGAATTATTTGAAACTGAGACTATGGAAGGATTGCAGTTTTCCTCCCCCCACCCCCCACCCTGCTTTTTTGGTGATGATAAAGTCAAGGTTATGATGAATGGATCAAGGGTTATATCTCTGAAGAAGAATAGATCAAAGAATTGTGAGGCCAGGTGTTGGAAAGAGCTGTATGAATATTGAAATTGCCGGTGATGACTGCAGGCTCATTCGGTAAAGAGTCTGCCTGCAATGCAGGAGACCCGAGTTCGATCCCTGGGTTGGGAAGATCCCCTGGAGAAGAGAATGGCAACCCACTTCAGTATTCTTGCCTGGACATTCCCATGGACAGAGGAACCTGATGGGCTACAGTCCATGGAGTCGCCAAGAGTCGGACATGATTGGGCAACTAACACACCACACACACACACACACACACACACACACACGACAGAAGTACTGGGTTGAGTTACAGTGAGTAAGGAAGAGGTAAAAGATTTCAACAGAGAGAGCAATGGACGGCATTCAGTCTAATGACAGGAAATTTAAAGTTGAATCTTATTAGAAACTAGGAGAGAATGATCTGGAAGTAGCATTGAGGAGCGAGGAAGATCCCCATCTCATTTCCAGGCCAAGTGAATAAGACGGATGAGAGTTAAAATAGACAACATTTGACAGACTTCCCTGGTGGTGCAATTAAGAATCCGCCCGCTGGTGCAGGGGACGTGGGTTCAACCCATGGTCTGGGAAGATTCCACATCCTGTGGGTCAGCTGAGCTCATGTGCCACAATTACTGAGCCCCCTGGGCCACAGCTACTTAAGCCAGAGCGCCTAGAGCCTGTGCTCCCCAACAAGAAAAGCCACCTCAATGAGAAGCTGGAACCCCGCAACTAGAGTAGCCACTGCTCATCGAAACTAGAGAAAGCCTGGACAACAACGAAGACCAAGTGCAGCCAAGAATACACAATAATTAATTAATTTAAGTAAATAAATAAAATAGACATCATTTGAGTGGGTTGCAAGTGAGGAAGTATTATCAGTATTATCAGGAAAGAGCAAGGGGTCAGTTATTGCTTTGCATATTTTGAGGTTACAGTGTTATAAACATCTTTATTAACAATATAGGTGCATGATATTCTCTCTATATTCTTTATCTACTATCTCCCTTTGCCCCAATTATGCTTCTTACCTTGAATTTATTTTTGCCTGTTATTACATGTCTGCTTTGCCTTGGTGGGTGTTGGGGTGGGGTGTACATATTTGTGTCTTTCTATCTCTGTGTTTTAACTTTGTCCTGTCCTCCTTTTTAAAATTTTAATGGTGTTTAGTTGATCTACAGTGTTGTGCTGTTTTTTGCTCTACAGCAAAGTGAGTCAGTTATACATATAATATCCGTTCTTTTTTTGATTCCTTTTGTTCTGTCCTTCTTTTAGGTGTGACTGTTATAGACATTATATTGCTAGATCTTATTTTTAAATTAAATCTGAGCATTCTATCTTTTCTTGGTAAATTAAACTGATAAATTATCTTTATGTTGAATATTTTCTTTCTTCCTAGTTTAAATTTTCTTTCATTTTTTTTCTTGCTTAGTTCCTTATATTAATCAGTTTTTTCTATGGGTTTGAAAAGTACACATTTTATATTTGTTCTTCCATTGGTTATCTTTAACTTAAGACTCTTACTTGTATTTATCTTTTCCAACTTACTAAACTTATCAACACCTATCTGTGCCTTCGCCCTTAATGGTACAGATACTTTTAAAAAATTATTTATTTCTGTATTTGGCTGTGCTAGTTCTTAGTTGTGGCATGCAGGGTCTTTGGTCTTTATTGTGCCATGCATGATTCTTAGTTACGGCATGTGGGATCTAGTTCCCTGACCAGGGATGAAACCCTGGTCCCCTGCATTGGGAGCACAGAATCTTAGCCACTGGATCACCAGGGAAGTCCTAGGACAAATATCTTAATATATACTCTTACCCGTCTGGATATTGCACTCTCCCCCTACTTTGTTATATGTGGTATGTGTGTGTGTGTGTATAATGCTTATGTATATACAATGTTTTTTAGATACCAACAAGCTTTACACAATTATTTTCTCATTTTTACTATCTTGTATTTTATAGCATTTCCTAAAATTTTCATTCAATAGATTACTTCCTTCAAGAATACTTTTAAAAGGGGTCTTAATGACAATCTGATGAGACCCTAAAGATCTGAGAATATATTTGTTATACCCTCATGTTTAAGCGATAGCTTAGTTGAATATAACTTAGCTTCAAAGTTTCTGTTTTTAATATTTTAAAAATATTTATTGTTTTCCTGTCCTTACTGTTGCTCCTGAGAAGTCTGACATCATTCTGATTCATTTTCTTTGTGGGTGAGCTGCTTTGCTTAGAATTTTCTCTTTGCTTTGGAGTTCTTAAATTTCATTAAAATATCAATAAATATTCAATTTTCCTATATCAGTCTGATTTATCCTCCCTATATACTCTCCCAACATCAATCTTTCTTTGAAGTTTCTCACTTTTTAAAAAAAAAATATCATCTTCCCTACAATAACTTTTTTCTCTCCTGTTAGGACTCCTATTATATAAATACTGTCTTTTCTATGTCTAAATTAATTTTTTAAAATTTATTTTTATTTATTTATTTGGCTGCGTAGGATCTTAGTTGCAGCACGCAGGCTTAGCTGCAGCGTCACATGTGGGATCTTAGTTCCCTGACCAGGGATTGAACCCGCATCGCCTGCATTGGAAGTCAGATTCTTAACCACTGGACTACCAGGAAAGTTTCTCTAGCCTCATATTTACTAATTTTTGTATTTTTTCATCTCTTATTTCTTCTCAATGTCTTCTAGAAAAGTTTCTTGACTGATCTTGGGTGATGTCCTTTTTGCTGTTTATATCATCTAGTGAGTTTATTTCAATTATGCATTGAATAGTCAGTAATCCTACTTGGTTCTTCATAAATGTTTGTTTCTGCTTCATTATCAATGTCCTCTTGGGAACATTTATTTGGCTTATTGTTGTTCAGTTGCTAAGTTGTGTCCGACTCTTTGCAACCCGGTATCTGCAGCATGCCAGGCTTCCCTGTCCTTCACTGTCTCCCTGAGTTTACTCAAACTCATGTCCATTGAGTCAGTGATGGCATCCAACCATCTCAGCCTCTGTTGCCCACTTCTTCTCTTGCTCTCAATCTTTCCCAGCATCAGGGTCTTTTCCAATGAGTCGGCTCTTCACATCAGGTGGCCAAAGTGTTGGAGCTTCAGCTTCAGCATCAGAACTTCCAATGAATATTCAGAGTTAACTTCCTTTAGGGCTAACTGGGTCGATCTCCTTGCTGTCCAAGGGACTCTCAAGAGTCTTCTCCACCACCACAGTTCGAAAGCATCAATTCTTCAGCACTCAGCCTTCTTTATGGTCTTTATTTGGCTTGTATTCTAGTAATTCTTTCATCTCGAGTAGGTTATTTATTTTCTTCCTAATTGTCTAGGTACTTTCCCCTGTGAGGTCATTTTCTTTCATGAGTATCCATTATCTCAGTGGGTAATGGAAGGAGAACGAGGTGGGAAGTGTCAAAACCTAGGCTTTAGCTTGTATACCACTCCTGGTGAGTGAGACAGTCCAACTTTGAATATTCTTATGTGTATTGCTCTCATCAGTGGGCTTTGCGCCTTGGTGAACTTCTCTATACCCAAGGCTTTGTTCTTTTCTAAGGATGTATTTGTCTAGCCCTCTGGATAAAGAGAAAGCCTATGAGGAAAGGTAGGAGGAAAACTTTAGATGCTTGTTTCTTGAATCAGAAGTTTACTGTTGTTTTTTTTTTTCCAATCCAACCTTCCAGTAGTGTTCCCCTGTGAACCTACTTTCTGGTATTGTGGAAGAGCTGATGGGAAAGGTAGTGATCTACTCTGGGCAGTGGTGGATAGAAAAGAGTCCAAATCAGGATTTCTCCCCAAATCTACTCTCCATGTTGGAAGCCTGGCCCTCCTCTGTCCAGGGCTTCTATTTTCCTTCTTTATCAAATCATAAGTATCTCCTGACCCTCCAGGGATTTCTGCTGGTTTCGTTTTCATTTTTTTTTTTACCCATTATTTCTGAGGTATATTTAGGCTTGGGTTGGCATGAGAGGTATATTGTACCACTTTGTCATTACATCAGGGATCATTTTGTAACAGCCTACCTTAGTGTTTGTTGAAGCTTTGTGTTTCCAGCAATTTAGACCAGAAGATATTCTTTCTTGAGTGGTAGTAGTCTGGAAATGAAGATGTTTAGCCTGAAGAACTACAGGCAGAAATAAAAAGCATAGGATAGGCAAAGCAATGGATATATATGAAAGAGAGCAAAATAGGCATTTTACTGAAATGTTGAAATTTACTTTCAACATACTTGTATTTAATTTTACAGTCACCTGGGAATCTTCTTAAACCTGAAAACAAGACAAGAAAATCTTATTACAAGTTGCTCTTGAACACATTTGTGGGAATATAGATGATTTATAGGGAAATTGAGCGCCTCCAAAACTCACAAAGTTAAACTAGTAAAATTAATATGTAATTCATATATATAAAAGTCACCTTAACAAGGCAAAATGTCTCCCAGAATAAAATCAGGAAGAGCAGAACTTGGCAGTAGTTTATATTTATTAGACAGTATTCTTACACCTAAAGTTAGAACATGGCCTGATTATTGACAATGGTTGTTATTTCTAGGCATGGACTTGTCTGTATTTTCTGGATTTTTTATGATGAACATTCATTACCTTTGTAACTGGAAAAAAATTATTTTATGGAATTTTCATAGGGAAATCATCATATAAATATACAAACCTGTACAAGGATATTTGCTGCAGCATTGTTTGCAATGTTGAAAAAGATCCAAATTTCTATCAGTGGAAGAACCATTCAATAAATTATGATAGATCTATATAATAAATATCATGTAAACAATAAAAATGATTCTGTAAGCCTATATAATGTAGAAAAATTTCAAAGATTTACTGTTAAGTGAAACACAAAGTAGGTTAAAAGATGTGTCTGATATGAGTCCATTCTTGCAACCAAAAGTAAGTGCATGGAAATTTTTTGAAAAATATATGCAAGAAGTTACTACTCAATCTTAACAAATAAGTTGAACAAAGTGAAAAATCAGCAACTCTTCTTTGATTCTTCGGAGAAGTGAGGTCACAGGGAAAACCACTGCCCCCAAATTGGATAGACAGATGGTAGAGAATTACAGCTTAACTAAATCAGAAGCTCATGAGCAGAAACTTCTGCAGGAAGCAGTGCCTGGTAGAAAACCTAAAACTGTAACTGATGAATGGTTGGAGGCTCAGTATTAACAAGTCTGAGAGTTAAAAAATCCAGGGGACCTAGTCAAAACGACCTCCAGAAACTCTATTAGGTCCTGACAGTGAAGATTGGAGAGCAGAGCATTCTGTTCTTCTTAACAAATCTACCCTCAAGAGAAACTATTTACCAAAGTTTAACATGCTGGAGTTTCATCAGGGCCTAACCTGCTTGGAGGAAATACCCAACTCCAGTCAACTCTAGCCATCCTGTCCCATCTAAGGTGAGATAGGGATCAGGGTACTAGCAAGCATTGGTAAAGTTCACAGTCCAGAGGTATAGGCTCTCCAAAAGATGAGACCTAATCACAGAGCTGTAAAATGTTTCCCCTTCTCCCATACTTCACTACCATATCACTAGAGGCCTATTTGCCAGAGTTCCTTTCACCTAATATGTCTCGATTTTAATTTAAAACTTACAGAGCACACTAAAAGAAAAAAAGTACAGTTTGAAGAAGCTGAACAAGCATCAGAACCAGAGTAAGGTACAGTAGTGATGTAATTAAGATAATTACAGTCATAATTAACTATGATTAATATGCTAAGGCCATTGATGAAAAGGTAGATAGCACACAGGAATACTGGATAACGTGAATTTTCTTTAAAGAAGATTTTCAAGAGAAATTTTTAAATATTTTGAACTAAATTAAAATGAAAATAGAAACTTATCAAATATTTTGAGCTGCAGCAAAACAGCATGCTTAGAGGGAAATTTATAGCATTGAGTGCACAGGTTAGGAAAGAAGCTTCCACCTTCGGAAACTAAAAAATGAGGAGCAAACAAAACCTAAAATAATCAGAAGAAAAGAGATAATAAACATTAGAGCAGAAATTTGTAGAGAAAAGTAGCAGATTTAACTGGGCACCTTGCTCAATTATGTGTTTATGTTTTTAAGTACAAAGCCAAATTTGTAGAAATATTAACACCATATTCAGGATCATGGTTTCTCTGGCTCATGAAGGAAAAAAGGTCATTGGTTAGGGGTACAATGGAGAAATCCACTTTTATGTGTGTTTGTATTATATATTTTTAAGTTTTGCTTTTGGGTTTTTCCTTTCTTTTGTAAAGAGCATATTTTATTTCTGCATATGCAGATTTTTAATATTACTATGTTTCTTGCAATCTGAAATATTGATAATAAATACTGAAAAAACTTCAATAGCCCTCTAGATAAAGTCCGGGGAACCTAACATGGATTACAAACACCTTCATGGTTTCTCTGACCCTACTTACCTCTCTAATCTTCCCACTTCCAGTTTGTACACAACAGTCTCACCAGGCTGACCAATTTTCCTCAAAAGACCTCATTCCTCCTCTCCAGCACAGCCAGTCCTCCTCCCCTTATCACCCATCTTTCTCTTGTTATTAAATCTTTGCTTAATTGTCCATATCTTTAGGAAAACGTCTCTGGCAGGTTATCTTTGTCTGGGTTGAATACTTCTTTGTACTTCCAAAATATTTAGCACTTTCACCGTCACTTACCACTTAATCATACGGTATTGCAACTGTTGATTTACTTCTCTATAGCTTCCATTAGAATATAAACCCCAAAAGTATAGAAACTTATGTCTCACTTATTCTAACATCCCTGGCCTCTGCTTAGTACTTAGCAATGATAGGCCCTCAATAAATATTTTTATAGAAATTATTTAGTTAATTAATGATAGTCTGGTTTATTTAACGTTCTTGAGGCAAGCTATAATTTTATTTTTAATGTGAACCCTGTTTTATAATCAGTATTTAGTTGGAATCATAAAATCTTACCATCCCATACTGTGGTTAGAAATTATTTCCTGGAAACAAATAAACAAAGAAACCCCAAACAGAAATCATTACCTGGAATAAAATTCTCTTCAGTCATTCACATAACAAAGTTTGGGTTAACCTAGGTCTTGCTTTTGTTTTTAGGATTAGCTCATAGTAAGTGTTCATCAGATTGCATAAACCATTCTTAGGCAAATGTGATAAAGTTCTTAAAGTTGCTTTTTATTTTTATAAATTCAAATTTGGGACTATAATAGGTATTACTGTAATGTATGGTAAATATGTACTGATACCACTTGCATTTAAATGAATCAAATAAAAATGCCGTTGGTACTTGTATTTTCTTCTTAGCTTACTCTTTTGCTTCATTTTCCCTAGAGCCTGTGTGCTGCTAACTAAAGATTGTGATTTTAGAATAGCTTCTAACCCCATTTGTTAAAAAAAAAATTATACCTTAATAGAATAATACAACTTTCCTTTTCAAACAGAAGTTTATATAGCAAAATGTTAGCAGCAGTATTATCCCTGAATGGTAGAGGTCGAAAGTAATTTGTCTTCTTTGTTATACTTTCTTATGCTTTATATATTTTTGAAATTTTTTAATGAAAATATTTCAAATTATATTTTGTTGAAAACTGTTCCTTTGGGAATTCCCTGGAGGTCCAGTGGTTAGGACTCGGCACTTTCACTGCTAGGGGCCTGGTTTCAGTTCCTGGTGGGGGAACTGAGATCCCACAAACCATGCAGCATGGCCAATAAATAAATAAAAACTTTAAAAAATTGTACTTTTGATAGTTGTTATCTTTTGTAATTCATCAGTATCTTATCATCCCCTACTTTAATTGTTACCTCTTTGGAGACAGAAACATATATTTATTCATTCATTCAACATTGAACTTTTTTGAATATTTCTAATGGGTCAAGATGTCAGATCTCTTGGGATACAAAGAGACAGATGCATAAACAGACCATTATAATACCTGTGGTAAATACAATGATAGAGTAATAAGCTTAGGATATTATGGAATTTGGGGAAATGGCACATAATGGCAATAGGGAAGATTAGGAAAAGCTTTCCTCAGGGGGAAAAAATATAAACTAATTAAGTCATTAATGTTTTTGAGCTGTAAGTAACAGAATCCCTGACTAAGGATGGTTGAAACTAAAAAGTTATTCATTGCTCACCTAACAAAAAGGCCAGAGGCAGGTGTACTCAGGGTTGTTATAGTAACTTAATGTCATCAAAGATAGGGTTTTACTTATCTTCCTCCTCTGTAATTATTTGTGCATTGTCTTTTTGGTCCTGTGGTTATCACCTCAGGGTTGCCAAAGATGACACTAGCTCTAAGCATCACATAACACATCAAGGCAGGAAGAGAAATTTTAATCCCAGTCACCCCTGTTGGAAACAGGAAGAAAGGGTACTGGGGGAATAGGGAGGTTTCTGTTTGTATATATTTTTAATTTAAAAAATTTATGAGATAATGTAAAAGAAGCAACATGTTATTGGTCCTGAATTTTTTCAAATATTGTTCCTTCTGCCTGGCATCCATGGTCTCTTGAAACTTTCTCACATGTTGTATCTCAGTGCCTCATTTATAGTACCTGGTACATAGTAAGTAGTAAATATTTTTGAAAGTAAAGCAGGCAGGGCAAAAACAGAAGCAATTGAACACAATAGGCAGCTAATCTCCCTCAAATATATTGTCTAAAATCAGGGAAGGTAAGTAATAAGGTAATTACAATACATGGTAGGTGCAAGGATAGTGTTAATTACAAGATACTAGTAAGATTATGCTCAAAATACTTCAAGCTAGGCTTCAGCAGGACATGAACCCAGAACTTCCAGATGCACAAGCTGAGATTAGAAAAGCAGAGGAACCAGCAATCAAATTACTAACATTCGTTGGATCATAGAGAAAGCAAAAGAATTCCAGAAAAACATCTGCTTCTGCTTCATTGACTACATGAAAGTCTTTGACTGCATGGATCACAACAAACTGGAAAATTTCCAAAGAGATGGGAATAACAGACCACCTTACTTGTCTTCTGAGAAACCTGTATGTGGGTCAAGAAATAACAGAACCGGACATGGAGCAGTGAGCTGGTTCAAAATTGGGAAGAGTATGACAAGGCTGTATACTGTCACCTTGTTTATTTAACTTACATGCAGAGTTATGCAGAGTAGATCATGTGAAATGCTGGGATGGATGACTCACAGACTGGAATCAAGATTGCCAGGAGAAGTATCAACAACCTCAGATACGTAGATGATACCCCTCTTCTGGCAGAAAGTGAAGAAAAACTAAAGAGCCTCTTGATGTGGGTGAAAGAGGAGAGTAAAAATGATTATTTGAAATTCAGCATTCAAAAAACTAAGATCATGGCATCTGGTTCCATCCCTTCATTGTAAATAGAAGGAGAAAAAGTGGAAACAGTGACAGATTTTATTTACTTGGGCCCCAAAATCACTGTGGATGGCGATGGCAGACATGAAGTTAAAAGACACTTGCTCCTTGGAAGGAAAGCTATGACAAATCTAGGTGCAGTGTATTAAAAAAGCAGACACATCACTGCCAACAAAGATGTGTATAGTCAAAGCTATTATTTTTCCAGTAATCATATATAGATGTGAGAGTTGGACCATAAAGAAGGCTGAGCACTGAAGAACCAATGCTTTCAAATTGTAGTCCTGGAGAAGACTCTTGAGGGTCCTTTGGACTGCAAGGAAATCAAACCAGTCAATCTTAAAGGAGATCAACCCTGAATATTCATTGGAAGGACTGATGCTGAAGTTGAAGCTCCAATACTTTGACCACCTGATGCAGAGCCAACTCATTGGAAAAGACCCTGATGCTGGGAAAGATTGAAGGCAAAAGGTAGAGGAGGCAGCAGAGGATGAGATGGTTAGAGAGCATCACCAACTCAATGAACATGAAGTTGAGCAAACTCCAGGAGATAGTAGGACAGAGGAGACTGGTGTGCTACAGTCTGTGAGGTTGCAAAGAGTCAGACACAACTTAGTGACTGAACAGCAGCAACAAGATTACATAATATTTTTGCTATTATTTTACTTTATTATAGTAAAATTTTAAGTGTCTTATTTCATGGTCGCTCAGTCGTTCCTGACTCTTTGCGACCCCATGGACGACTGTAGCCTACCAGAATCCTCCATCTATGGGATTCTCCAGGCAAGAATACTGGAGTGGGTTGCCATTTCCTTCTCCAGGGGATCTTCCTGACCCAGGGATTGAACCCAGGTCTCCTGCATTGCAGGCAGATGCTTTACCCTCTGAACCACTGGTATCTGCCACCTAAACAAATTTATGAATTATTGCTGTTTCTTCTTACCCCAGGACTTGGGTTTCACCAGAATAAATGAGACTGCTGCCACAAATTATTTCAGGTTACAAAGTTCAATCTTCTAAATTCTTAGTTTAGAACATTAAATAATTCTCTTTCCTGAAAGAGGTAATGCAGACTCTAAAACTCTTTAGTTCCATTGGAATGATTTCCAATGATTGGCTAAAATCTGGTTTAACAGAATTTGGAAACATGGAACCACATGACCACCTTACCTATTGTTTCCAAGTGTCTTCAGTGTATCCTGGGATATAAGCCCTGATAGATTGGGCCTAGATATGACAATTGAATTTAAGGTCATGTTGCTGAAGCATGAAGTGAGCAAAAGCATTTTACAGTGGTCTTTCTGGAATTTTCAGTAATAAATCCCTAAGTGGAATTCAAAAGTGGACCTTTCTAGTGCTAGATTAAGTTTTGCCATATTATGACTGTTTTTTTGTCTATTTGTTTGTTTATATTATTCCAATAGGCCCATGAAAAGAAACACTAAAAGACTAATGCTGAATTTATGGGTACTTTTTTATAACTGGTGTGAGTCTGACGTCACACCAAGAACCTACTTTTGGTAACTCCCTGGTGCTGTAAGTCAAGTTAAGGAAACAAAAGGTATGTGATCAAAGGCCGAATTATCAGAGTTCTCCCAGTGCTTAACTTACCTTGATTGAATATATGTAAGAGATCTTATGAAGGCTGACTGAACATCTAGCTGAAGCAGCATAGGAACATCTGGGTACCCACCCAGCTGGGCCCAGAGAGAATGCACTGATGTCTTCTCTGTTATTGGGTAACTCGAAGTGGATAGATCTGTATTCCAGATGGCTTGCAGTTGGTCGTCTTTTCTAGAGAATCAGAGAGCACTCCTTAAGCATCAAACTCTCCTGAGCTCCAAAGCCATTCAAGATATAACTCCTATTCTCCTCCCTTCTCTTCACCACCACCCTGTCCTATAGAGCTCCCCCTGGCACTGAGGAACTTTAGTTACGGTCACTTCAACTGAGAGATGGGTTAAAATAGCAGAATTTGCAGAAATAGCTTTTTTTTTTTCCCTGAAAGTTGCCTTTCCATGACTTCATCTACTAATATATTAACAACTTTCTTAGCTTCATGGAGTACACATTCCATATTCAGGCTATTGCCCCACCTCCACAACAACCTTTTCCCTTTCTTTCCCAAAGTTTCTACCTTTTTTTGTTTTCTTTAAGAAAATGTTTCTAAGTTTCTTCATTGTGTAAATTGAAATAATTTGCTTCTTACTAACGAAGAATCAACTTCATTTTTTTAAAGGAACTCAAAACTAGATGTTAAATTTTTAAGTAGAAATAAGCCTTTTGCAGACTAGCTAATAAGATTAATACTTGCACCACCATTATCCACTGCACCATATCATAATTGTGGAGAAGAGGAATCTCTTGGGCAGAAAAAAAAAGCATTAGTATCCATTTATTATCCAAAGAAAGTTTAATGTAAGTCTTTCCTACCACACACCTAAATTTATTGAGAATGTTATACTTCCTTTTGTCTTCTTTCAGTAGCTTTAGGTATGGCTGTTGAACAGATTTGGTAGAAGCAGGTATTTGCTTTTTTTCAATGACCAAAGGGATAGGTTGATCAAGATTCAATTTATATGCCTCTTGAAGCTAAAAGTAAATAAATCAGAAAAAGGAAATCATGAAAAGAAAGGGCCAAAGTCTTTAGGATGATCTTCTGAGCTGGCACTTAGCTAAACTATGACATATTTCCTCTTCCAAATTCTCTTTCTCCATGCCTCTTCTCCCTTCCTCCAACCACTCCTCAATCTGTACCCACCTCCAACACAATTTCAGAGTTGGCAGTTATTAATATATAAAGACCATGGTCCTGCTTTAAGTTCTAGTTTTAGTTCTCTCATTTCCTAGCTTTGTGACTTTGGGTTAGTTGCCAATTTTATTGGCACCTCTTTCTTCTCATTTATAAAACAAGGATAATAATACAAGGTTGTTGTGAGAGTTGTATAATATGTTTGGAAAACTTCACAAATTGTGAAGAAGCACTGTGCAAATGTAATGATAGCTAACACTGACTGTCAGATGCTTTCTATATGTTAACTTGCCTGCAGTGTGGGAGACCCAGGTTCGATCCCTGGGTCAGGAAGTTCCCCTGAAAAAGGAAGTGGCAACCCACTCTAGTATTCTTGACTGGAAAATCCCATGGACGGAGGAGCCTGTGGGGCTACAGTCCATAGGGTCGCAAAGAGTCGGACACGACTGAGCAACTTCACTTTCACTTTCATTAATATTTACAGTCTTATGAGATAGGTGCTATTATTATCCTTGTCTTACATATGGGGATATGAAGCTCAGAAAATTTAAGTAGCTTGCCCAAGGTCTCTTAGCTAGTATGTAGTAAAGCCAATCTGGTAGCAGAACCAACTTCTTGACCACCATTTTGATTCAGTGTAAGGTATTTATGCATTTCTACCCTTTCACTCCTTTTGTTTTTCCCTCTCCTTTCGTAATACCTTCATACCTACTTCATTATCCAGATTCTAGCTTTCCTGACCCCAGACCTTTATTCATCTTTTGAAATGCCCTAGACATTGTCATTCCTGTTAGACAGCTCATGACATTGCCAATTCATCTTGCCTTACTCCATCTACATTGGTCATATTTTTCAAACCCAGAACTGTCAAAAATATCCATGTTTAAGGTGAGAGAGTTTTAATATTTATATATTGTAGCTTGTAATTTCTGGAGAGTCCCCTGATGGACTAGTGGTTAGAATTCTAGGCTTTCATTTCAGGCCTGGGTTCAATCCCTGGTTGGGAAACATATCCTGCAGGCTGTGTGGCATGACCAAAAAAAAAGTAACTTCTAAAAAATTCATAACACGTCTATAATGAGAAATTTCTCTGTACCTTCTAGAATAGCAAGTAAGCTAATCTTATTAATTAATTACTTTAGTAAAACAGAATGATGTATAAATAGAAAATATTCCTAGAACTCCAAAAACATTCCAGAGCTGCACGCTGGAGAAAGTAAGGGCAGCGTTTAATTCCAGAGCAAAGAATTCTAATCTCAGCTTTGTAACTTTTGGAAGGTCACTATCACTTCCAAAAGCAATACTGATGGTTATCAGAGTGAATTCACCCATTCACATTGGATGAATGTCAGAGTTTAACAGGATCTTCTGTGCCTGGTACTCTGTAAGCAAGTTAATTAACTCTTATCTCCTTTTTTGTAAAAGCTTGATACTAAAACTTGCTTTCTGATAGTTTTGAGGAAAGAAGTAAATACCAAGAATCAGTTGGAGAGCAATGACTTCAAGAGGTTTCAAATCTAGAGGCATGGGTTGACTAGGAAGAAGCTGAGCATTTCTGGAAGTCTCTCCCATTCTTATAGGCTTCCAGGTGGTGCAGTGGTAAAGAATCTGCCGGCCAGTGTAGGAGATGCAAGAGATGCAAGTTCAAGCCCTGGGTTGGGTAGATCCCCTGGAGCAGGAAATGGCAACCCACTCCAGTATGCTTGCCTGGGAAATCCCATGGACAGAGGAGCCTGGCAAGATATAGTCCATAGGGTTGCAAAAGAGTTGACACGACTGAGCAACTAAACACTACCATCAATAGATATAATTAAGTTAAGGATCTCAAGATGAGGTCATGCTGGTTTAATCAGATGGGTCCTAAATCCAATGATACATTGGCTTTATAATAGGAAAGAACAAAAAACACACTAGACAGAAGGCCACGGAAAAGACAGAGGCAGAGACTGGAGTTATGCAACGACAAGCCAAGGAATGCCAAGGATTGTCTATAGCCACCAGAGTCTAGAAGAGAAGCTTAGAACAAATTTCTCCCTCAGAGTGTCTAGAAGGAACCAAACCATAAGAGAATACATTTCTGTTGTTTTTAAGCCATGAAATTTGTAATATGTTAACAGCAGCACAGGGAACTAATATATATGGTATCTCTAGGAAACTGTTATTAATATTTTCAAAACCTGCCCCTTTCACTTTTCTTACAGCAGATTGTGGAGAGGGAATAGAAAACAGATTACCTGGCTGAATAAGTACGTCATTTTCCTTAGGCACCGATTGCGTTTCTGCTCTAGGGAATTCTGCTTCTCTGTCCAGATCTGCATCACCTTTTTTTGATAATCATCAATCCTCTTGAGCATTATGTAGAGGTTCTGGGTCTCATAACTTCTTCCAGTATTCTGGATGGCTTGTAATCGTTTAATTATGTTGTTTCTTGGAAAAATGAACAAGAATTAGGTTGATAAAATTACTGACACTAACTCAGCAAACCTGGCCTCAGTTACTTTCCATTCTCATCTCATCCTTAGTAAGTAGAGATGGTAGAGGGGTGGCAGTCTTGCTTAATGTGACCTTAACCTAGTTCCCTATATGACTAAACTTTCAAAACTCTATATGACTGTCAAATTTTCATTTAACTCCTCACAGAGTTTTTAGTGTTACAGTAGCGCTTATTATTTTTTAAGGAAAGTGAAGTCGCTCAGTCGTGTCAGACTCTTTGTGACCCCATGGACTGTAGCCTACCAGGATGGAAAATCCGTCCATGGGATTTTCCAGGCAAGAGTACTGGAGTGGGTTGCCATTTCCTTCTCTTAAAATACAGTAATATTTTAGTAGTGATATATGTAAGACATATAGAAGGTATTTAATACCTTGAAAAAGACAAGTGTCCTTGCCTTCAAAGCACTTACAAGCTAGGTTAGAAGACTCATAAAAATTAACTGTGTCAGAGAGAGAATGAAATAAATGCTAAATAGCAGTTGATCTGTTTGAACAAAAAGGAAAACGTAATTAATTCTAACAAGAGGAATAAAGAAGGCTCCATAGGAAAATGTTGAATAAGATCTGGAGGATGTAGTACTCTGTTTTTTGTGCCACAACATTTGGACCTAGATTTTTTTTTGCCATCCCCATTCTACAGGAGAGGAAAAGGAATCTGAACGAATTTTCAGGAGTCACATAATTAATTAATAACAGATTTGGGAAGCAAACCCAGATCTTTCTTTCCACAATACCAATATTCTCAAAGTGTGGACCCTAATCACATGGACTGATTCATCTTGTGGGGAGGAGGGAGGGTGGTACTTGTTGAATATGCAGATTCCAGGGTACCTCCCCAAGACCTTTTGAATAAAAAGCTTGGTGGTAGGCTTCAGGATCTGTATTTTAAACAAAATCTCAGGCAAACCTTACAGCCACTAAAGTCTGAGAAAAAGAGGATGAAGAATTCCAGATTGAGGGACTACTATAAATACAGGCAAGACAATGAAAGTTGTATTTTGGGAGTGGTGAATAGCGTGGAACTTTTTAGACCGCAGATACGTGAAAGGATACATATTGGGGGATAAGGCTGAAACAGCTGGATTATGAAAGGCTTTAAAAGGCATGTTGTGGAGTTTGGATTTAGGGGGAGGTAGGCAATGGGAACACACTGAAGACGTTTTTCTGAGTAAATGTGCTTTTCATGTATAGAGGAGCTTCCCTACTGGCTCAGTGGTAAAGAATCTGCTTGCAAGCAGGAGCTGCAGGAGACGCGTGCTCGGTCCCTGGGTGGGGAAGAGCCTCTGGAGGAGGGCATGGCAACCCACTCCAGTATTCTTGCCTAGAGAATCCTGTGGACAGAGGAGCCTGGTGGGTCGCGGAGAATCGGGCCAGAAATGACTGAAGCGACTTAGTGCAACACATGCCATACATATAGAGATAGTGGGGGGAAGGGAATAACTCTTAGGTCTCCTTTACGGGTTATAATTAATAGCTTAGAATGTACTGCATATGTGGATCATTTCATACTTAAATATACTAGCTTTCTGAATTATTTCATTTTAAATTAATTTTCCAATAGCCTTAGGGTTTTTTTTCATATCCCATGGGTGATTTTTATTTTTCTACTTCTATGATCTTTATTACATGTGTTTTTTTCCAGTTTTTTTAAATTGAAGTATAATTGATCTACAATGTTGTGTTACAGCAAAGTGATATATATACATGTGTATAAATAGTATAAATATTATAAATGTATTTACATAGTCTCCTTCAGATTCTTTTCCATTATAGGTTATTACAAGATATTAAACATAGTTCCCTGAGATTACATGCATTTTTAATCACATGTAATCATACACATGCATCTCCTGTATCATTTCTCCATGTGTTACCAAATTCCTATCACATCCATTCTTATAATAAAGGTGTTCTCAATGAAGCAATTGGGTAACATTCTAATAACCATATTTCATATGTATTTGAGATATAAGTGACTGTGTATATTTATAATTGAGGTATTTTATATTTATATAAAATTAAGATATAAATTTAAACTAAGTTTAAGGTGTATAATGTGTTGATTTGATGATACATTTATATACTGCAATATGATTACCACTGTAGTGTTAGCTAATCCCTCTATCATGTCACATAATTATCATTTCTTTCCTGTGATGAGAAAAATTAAGATCTGGTCTCTTAGCAAATTTGAAGTTTACATAGTTTTTTGTTTGTTTGTTTGTTTGTTTGTTTGTTTTTTGCTGCACTGGGTCTTCATGGCAGTACATGGGCTCTTGGTTGCAGTGCATGAGATTCTCTAGCTGTGGAGCACTGGCTTAGTTTCCCCTCTGCAAGTGGAATCTTAGTTCCTGGGCCAGGGATCGATCCTGTGTTCCCTGCATTGGAGATGGATTCTTAAACACTGAACCACCAAGGAAGTTCCTATAAATACAGTGTTGTTGACTATAATCACTATGCTATGTATTAGATCTTCCCAATAAGTTTTATTTTTCACATCAAATCTTTCCTGCTGTTTTTCTCCCTCTTCACAGTCTTTCAGACTTTTCCCGTGGTTTTTCCTTATTGAAATTATATGTCCCAACTTGGAAAACTTTGCAGTTTCATTTCAAACTTAGAGATTATATTGTTTATGTGTTTTAAAATATAATTCAATATCTAATCACCCAGTCAAATAGCAACCACTGAGGTATCTCATTATTTTAAATTTTCTATCTAGAAACATTTTTGTTCATTTCTTCCTACCATTTGTTCTCACTCTTTTAGCAAATTGTACTTATATTGATAAAATACTGCCCTCATTCTAATAAATATTTTATAGAATTTGATATAAAATTATGATTCAAAGGAAGGTGCTTTAACATTTACTGACCATCTACTATGCATCAATCATTGTGCTGGAGATGTTATTTCTATTTTAAAATTTATGTTAAAACATTTTAATAGTTTAAAGTATATTATTTCATTTAATCATCACAATCATTCTTTGAAGTATATATCATTACATCATCAGTTTTACAAATTTGAGTCAGCACATTAAAATCTTAGAGACGTTCAAAACTAGAAACTCGAACCAAGCTCTTCCTGACATTAAAGAGAAGATATGACTAAGATTTGGATATAAAAACTATTACTGCCCTCCTACACTGTCAATGGGAATGTAAATTGGTATAGGCACTATGGAGAACAGTATGGAGTTTTCTTAAAAAACTAGAAATAGAGTTACCACATGATCCTACAATCCCACTCCTGGGCATATATCCAGAGAAAACTCTAATTTGAAAAGATACATGCACCCAGTGTTTATAGAAGCACTATTTGCAGTAACCAAGATATGGAAGCAACCTAAATATTCATCAACAGGTGAATGGATAAAGATGTGGTATATATATATATATGAATATTACTCAGCCATAAAAAATGAAATGCCATTTGCAGCATTTGGATGGACCTAGAGATTATCATCGGAGAAGGCAATGGCACCCTACTCCAGTACTCTTTCCTGGAAACTCCCATGGACAGAGGAGCCTGGTAGGCTGCAGTCCATGGGATCCCTAAGAGTCAGACACGACTGAGCAACTTCACTTTCACTTTTCACTTTCATGCATTGGAGAAGGAAATGGCAACCCACTCCAGTGTTCTTGCCTGGAGAATCTCAGGGATGGCAGAGCCTGGTGGACTGCCATCTATGGGGTTGCACAGAGTCAGACACGACTGAAGTGACTTAGCAGCAGCAGCAGCAGCAGCAGCAGCAGCAGAGATTGTCATATTAAGTGAAATAAGACAGAGAGAGATAAATATCATATGATATCATTTATATTTAGAATCTAGAAAAATAATACAGGGAATTTCCTGGTATTCCAGTGGTTAGGACTCTGTGGTTCAACTACAAAGGGCATGGATTTGACCCCTAGTCAGAGAAGGCCAAAAAAAGAAAAAATATACAAATAAATTCATTTACAAAACAGAAATAGACTCACAGACATAGAAAACAAACTTATGGCTACTAAAAGGGTAACCAGGGGGTAGGGGAGATAAATTAGGAGTTTGGGATTAACATATACACATGTATACATTAACATATACACATTTGCCAACAAAGGCCCTTCTAATCAAAGCTATGGTTTTTCCAGTAGTCATGTATGGATGTGAAAGTTGGACTATAAACAAAGCTGAGCACAGAAGAATTGATGCTTTTGAACTGTGGTGTTGGAGAAGACTCTTGAGAGTCCCTCGGACAGCAAGGAGATCCAACCAGTCCATCCTAAAGGAATTCAGTCCTGAATATTCATTGGAAGGACTGATGCTGAAGCTGAAACTCTAATACTTTGGCCACCTGATTAGAAGAATTGACTCATTTGAAAAGACCCAGAGGCTGGGAAAGATTGAAGGTGGGAGGAGAAGGAGATGACAGAGGATGAGATGGTTGGATGGTATCACTGACTCAATGGACATGAGTTTGAGTAAGCTCTGGGAGTTGGTGATGGACAGGGAAGCCTGGAGTGCTGCAGTTCATGGGGTCACAAAGAGTTGGACACGACTGAGTGACTGAACTGAACTGCACACATTACTATTCATGAAACAGGTAAACAACAAGGACCTGTACAGCACAGGAAGCTATACTCAGTTTCTTGTAATAACCTATAATGGAAAAGAATCTGAAAAAAAATATATATATATAACTGAATCACTTTACAATTAACACAACATTTTGAATTAACTATATTTCAGTTTTTAATAAATAAAAAGTTTATTGCTAAAGAGTGCTAACCACCATCTGAGCTGGTAGAGTTTTGCCTCAGAGCTGATGACTGGTTGGAAAAGACCCTGATGCTGGGAGGGATTGGGGGCAAGAGGAGAAGGGGACGACAGAGGATGAGATGGCTGGATGGCATCACTGACTCGATGGGCATGGGTTTGGGTAGATTCCGGGA